CCAGCAGTCAGACTGGACACACACTGCAGACACCAGTCAGTCAGAGGAACGTCTCACATTCATGTTCATGTACCTTCATCACCACAGACGGTCACTAATAGACACACAACAGCCAAAACCAGACACAAAATGACAAAAACAACTACAAATAGACACAAATGACCACAAAGACACGCAAACAACCAAAAAGAGACACAAAACAACCACAGTGAGACACAAATGACAACAAAAGAAACAAAAACAACCACAAGGAGACACAAAATGGCCACAAAGACGCACAAATGACCACAGAGAGACAGAAAACAGCCATGAATACAAAACGGTCACAGGGAGACACAAAGAGACAAACCGACAAAGAACAACTGCAAAGACACAAAACATGGAGACCGGTGAGCTTGAGCGTCTGTTTTGCTTCCCGTCCATCGTCTGTCTGACACCAGGGATGCTGATTTACTTCCTGGTTGAACCTTTAGTTCCTAAAACGGCTCCGGCTCCTTATTTCATCACAGTGGAATCACACCAGCAGCGGATCAGAACGTCGAACCGGACCGGCTGCTGGTCACATGTCTGTGGACGCTCTGGAGAACAAGAACCGTCCCCAGAATCCCATCAGCCTACATTTTTAAACAAACTGCCCAAAACCGCTTCTTCTTCTTCTTCTCTTTTTTTTCTTTTCCACATATGTGAGAACAGAACTATCTGATGGAGATGAATCAGCAGCAGGACGCGGTGGCGCCGCTGAGCCTCGACATGCTAACGTCTGCTGCTGCACAATCAGATAAAGGGCAGAAAGAGAAATAACTGTCTTATGTGCAGGCTTTAATTCCAGAGTTTTATATTTAATCAAATGATATTTCATAGTTTGTATCGCCGCCTGCAACCACTTTCATTCCAGCTCATAAATATGCATGTTTGCATAAAGCCGTCGCATGTTTTTTTAAAGCGGGACTTGAGATTCTCGCGGCGTCGCGCTAGCGGAGGGCGGGCGGAATAACGCGGGAAAGCGTGCGTCGGACCGCCGCGACGGCGAGCGGCTTTGTGTTCATTAAACGTCGTTCTGCCAGAACCTGGATTACGCAGACGGAGAAAAACAAAGTGTGCAACGTGAAGCCGTGGACGCTGAACGACTCCACAGATAAATGAACGTGTCTCCAATAAAAAGGCGACGTTATGGCTTCATAAAGACGCGGCGGGGCGCCGAGTCGCAGCAGGTGATGCTGCTGCACAGG